AAACATACCGCTGTGCCACTGGAGGGGGGGCATTCAGCATTGTAAGTCCATAAGTTTACCAGTGATGTGGGGGAACAGTTCTACACTACACCTTTAAATATTACAACAAGAATAGCTTATATAAAGATTGATAAACTGTACAAAGTTACAATATCATAAAAAAAGAGCTGTAATTTTCAAAAGCACATACTTTTCAAATAACAATATTTTTATTTGGAAAGTTTGTCTCATAAAATTATTTAAAAATGACAAAATTTGTTGTGAGCACTATTTTTAAACTATTTATGAGAATGTAAATAAACGAGGTTTAATGTATATAATTGGTTAATGTGATTACTACACTTCGTACTGCTTAGAAAGGGAATAATTCCATAATTTTATATTAAAAAAATATATTAGTTCGACAAGTTTTGCATCTGAATTCAGACACTGTTTTATACACTTTCCCTCTTCTCAAATTTTTGTTAGAAAATTTTTAATTATTTTCAGAAGAAACGTAAAAAAAATATGTGGTATAATGTCAGTTTAATCTGAAAAGATAACGCCACCTGATTAATCATACGTGACATTACTTACCAAGCTGGACTCGTCTGGTGACGATAGAGTTAGAAGAGTCACTGTGACGTTCACAATCGTTTCTTCTACATGACAAAAGAAGGAATTTTTCTGTACAAACTGATATTTACCAGTACCAGTTTTAACTGTGTTGAGTGTAATAAAGATTTCGAAATTCTACATAATTATTTCTCTATTACTACTTTGTAAGGGTCTTTATTGAAAAGAATAAATGCAACAGAGGTTAAGCACAATTACTGTGAATTACAACCATGATATATCTAAGTCATGAAATAATACAAAAGTACGAAAATAATTTATACGTTTTGGAAACAGTGATTCACATACTGGTACTGAAGACTGCTTTTTCACTGACTATCATGCTTTGTCTGCTTCCCATGCTTCTTCGCAGTAGTAGTGTTGTCTTCAGGTTGTTGTGTTTTTCGGATAAACAGACTTGTTATTACATTCTTCCCACTATTTATCTATAAACCAATTAATGTCTTAGGTCTGCGGAACGTCTAAGGGCTCGATATAATAGACCAAAAGCCCAAAAGCTGAATGGAACTGCATCAGGAGACTTCACGCCTATGGATTCGAAAGGGAATTTCTGTGATTCCACTTTACTTTATCATTTTTATCATGAAAACAGCCGTTGATTTAAGGGTATAGCAGGAAACTCGTGAATTTTTGGCTTGTGAGCCTTTGTAAACTTCTTCAATTCTTTTTTTTTATTATTGTTATACTGTTATGCCCAACTTCATCATAATGACTTTAACAGTCGGAGGATTCTTTTGTCTAACCATAGCCTTGATTTTGTGGATGAAAGCGTTGGTCCTGATTGGCTTGAGACATAGTTTGGAATCCGTTGCTCTTTTAAACCCTCTGCTCTGAGAGTTTCTTTTGCCTCCGTTGTAGTCATTGAAACTACTCTCCAATATATTGTGTCTTTGTTTCTACATTGTATATTAATCTCTCTGTATGAATATCCCTCTTCAGAGAAAATGGTCACATACTCGTCCAGCCCAGATCGAGTTTTGGAAGCATTTAACAAGACGACAAGAAACCTTTTTCTCATATATGCGAAATAAATGTTAGTCTAATCATGTGGTCATAGATCTAAAACCCACCAGGACAATGCAGAGAATTGGTATATAATTTACAAGTGTTTCCATAATCTACAAATAACTTCCTGCAGTTGAAATATAGAATTAAAAAAATCTGCAATGCCCTTTAAATGTCATGTAATTAGAATAGTTTAAGAAACCAAGTTCTTCGTCTGAGCTTCAATGATACTTAGGGGATGCTATGGTGGCTCACTCTGACAATGTAGAGATATAATCACGATTGGATGTGTAACAATGAGTTTAATCGAAGGAGGATCAAACCAAAGAAACTAACAAAGAAAAATATAAAGGTTAAAATAAACTTAAAATACAAAATGATTATAAATAAACGTATTATGGCGAACGTAGTTACCTTTAACATGGATCAAAAGTTATTTTGAATATTTCTTCTCCCGGAAATAATAAAATGGGAATTTCGAGTTTGTGAGAGGTTCTTAAATTTGGGTAAAAATATTTTGCATTATTTTGGTGTATAAGAGAGATTTTTCATTAAGTGTTGTTAGATTTTATTTTATAACAAATTTTGGTTTCATGACTTTTTTTTATAATGGTTTGTTTTATAATGTTTATTTTCTTTTTTATGTTTAGAATGACTTTAGTTAGGCATGTTTTTAAACTTTATAACCTTTTGTGTATCTTACAAACACACAATCTCTAAATTATCAAACGATTTGTTTGTTGGATTCTGCACAAAACTACACTAGGACTAACTGTCCCTAATTTTGAGTCAATAGATTAGAAGGAAGGCAGCAAGATAACATCACCCACCAGCAACAACTGGGCTTGTTTTGTCATACCAAAAAGTTTGAGTGTACCGTCATTTTTACAATGCACCACGACCCCAAATTGCGCAGCACTTATTATTATTACTTAGTAATGGGGCACAAACCACTGAACCTCAGCTACACAGCTCTTCACTCTAACCACTGGGCCACGTTCGACTTTGTCAAAGTGCACCAGCAAAGAAATTCATTACGTCACTAAAGAACATGCGCCAAATACTTTAAATTTTTTCTTCATTTATTCTTGATTAGAGAAGGCTTACTTGTTGAAAACGCTCGAATTATCGTAGTTTCATTAGGTAATAACTTCAAAACGATTCCTGAGGATACTTCGAGGATGAACTTTCATCTTCATGTTACAGATATGGATATTCCAGTTTTATTCTTAACGTGGCTACAACAAGTGTCTATAAGATTTCATGTTTTAAATTAAATACTGAATTTCTTACGAAATAAATTGTCAATGCATCAGAACAAATTTTTGTTACATTGATGTTGAGCTCCATTTTAGCCAGAAATTGTAATTACATGAATAAAGTGAGGATACTGTTTGGGATTTCTTTTTACGTTTTATCTTTACTAGTATCATTAACATTATGGCCGCCATTTTTTTCCATCATGATCGCTACTATTAAGTACTTCCGTGCTTAATTATACGTTTACTGTTGTTGGTGAATTTGCATGAAAACAAAAAGAACACAACCTTCTCGACCTTGAGCTTTTCTTGGTTTTATGAGTAGCGTTTGTTGCATAGATTATATTAGGTATTTTAACATCGTATTTCTGCGTATACTCATTATGATTTTCGTGTTATTTTACAAAAGAATGCAGAAAACATAATAGAAATATAAAGTATTAACAGAGACGTCGCTAGGTACTTAAAAGATTTGGGGTTTGGGCCCGAAAAGAAAAAAGTTTATGTCTTACCTTGTGGTCGCACTCTGAAGTCATACTTGCTAGGATCTAACAGATAGTCCAGGACAGTTTTATCGGAACTGTTGAAAAAACTGGCGCGAAATGACAAACGAAGGAGATTAGATAGCATACTGATAACTGATAAATAATATAAAATTTCCCTAAAGAGTAAGACACATGTGGCAATAGAAATAATATTCCTAACCACACAAAGTATAACCACACAAAAAATATCAAGGAAGCAGTTCACTAATCAATTTTGTATGTAAATATAATATAATGCAGGTCTTAGATTAAATAACGTTTATTTGATATCTTAAATTTCAATATCACTTTACATCCGAAAGTATACTTATTCTATCAAAATAGTATTTTCTATTCGCGCCCTACAGTTATTGCTTTCAGTTTTTACGACATATTTAGATATAATACTACAGTAATTATTTTCTTGTTCTTAAAAAAAGGAATTAAACAAATATGTAATTTCCCGGAATATGATTAATCAAAAGTCGTAAGCTTGCCCCATCATAAATATTTAGACCATTAACACTTTAACAGCTTGCCGCAGAGGCTACGTAGTTTTGTTAAACATAAGTATTAAGAAGGCACAAAATGTTGTGACGTCACATATTTAGACCAAACGTTGCTATCTCACACCTTTACAACTTTTAAAGATTCATCAGCTTATGAAAACTTTGAAAAAAGCATTTCAGAAATATCACAAAACAACTTTGGCCAATCAAATAATGAGCATTACATAATCATTGCTTTTTTTTTCTGTATTTGGTAGGAATGGGCTCTGAAAATAGTGATACAAATCTATCTTAGGGGAACCAAAGGATACTTCAAACGTAAAAAATAAATACATTTACACAGTGTATTACTAAGTAACATGAAACTTGTGATGTATTGTGGTACCTACCTCGGGGGATTCAGATCGCTGACAACTCCTCCAATCAGCCTTAAGATAATTGTGATCACGGTAAGGGGAGGGACGATACTGTCTAGTTTATTGCCCATTGCGAGCCTATACAAAATATTCCAATAAAAAATCATATATACATTACTGCCGTACTAAGGCATTGTTAAAAAAATATGAAGACTCGATAGTTAGTTATCACAACATTGTTTCTCATTACTTTTTTCTTTATTTTTTCTTTGCCGATGGGGCAACGGTAAGTTTACGGACGTACAATGCTAAAATGCGGGGTTCGATTGCCGCGGTTGACACAGCCGACAGCCCACTGTGGCTTTGCTCTAAAACAAACAAACCTCACTCGACACATGTTCTTGGATGCACAAGACTGTCAACTAGAAGCTTTCTTTCTTTACATGTAAAAGTCACAGGCATGTTTATTATACTTTTGTACCTCATTCATACGTCGACAGAAAAATCTTTCCGGATCATAATATCACTATGGTGATGTTTAATAACTAGAATCGATTTACATAATCCAAAAGAAACTAATGAGGGAAAAATAAATAAAGACGTATGAAAACCGAGTTTTATACAAGCATTTCTTGAAACTATAGGTTAACTTTGCATTTCATGACTTTCAATATTTCAACCGGAACTATTGGAAGTGCATTAGTTGTCAAACTAATCAGTCAGTCAAATTATATATAATCCTTTAAGCCTATTTGTTTGTAGTTAAGTATAAAGCTATACAATGTGTTATCTATGCTAGGACCACTGCGAGTATCGAAACCCGGTTTCTAGCGTTGTAAGTCCGAAGACATACCGCTGCGGCGCCACTGGGGGGGGGGGTGAGTTAAGTCTATTATTTGAAAACCTTTAATGTTTTACATTTCTTTTCAAGAAATAGTTCAATCTTTTTCACATAAAAAAGATTGCCTCGCAAACCCTGAACTTATTTCATAGTTAAGTACTTTAGCAGAAAATCCAACAGCAATTAATGAATAATAATAGAAAAAGTAAAACAAATTTTCTCTAAGGGCATACACCGTTTTACTATATTGCAAACTACTGGCTTGTGTTTATAACTTTCGGATATTATATTACATTATACTGGGTTATTTATGTTTTTGCGTGGTTGAACACGCATTTAAAATCGGATAAATCACTAATTTCTTATTTAAATTACATTGGGGTCCCCAGCAGTAAATAGTGGTATTAATTGTTATATTGACAGTAATTCTATTAACATTTTATGTATCATACTTATGCTAATAGGAATCTTGTAAACAGGAGATCCATGATATTAGTTTTATGTTGTTTTTGTGTTTTTAGCACAAACCTATACAATGGGCTATATGTGCTCTGCCCATTGAGGTGAATCGAAAACCAAATTTTAACGTTGTTAGTTGTCAGAACTTATGATATATTTATTTTACTAATTGCCAATTAATAATATAAATATATATTGCGTTGTTGTTGGGCTTAGGATCCTTCTACAATAGGTGTTGTGACTTGCTGACGATACATTCAACGATGAATAAACAGCAGACACTTCACTTGTTTTCAAAATAATATATTGTTACGTCTCCGTTTGCTAGTTAATTTTCCGTAAATCCGTTCCGACGAAATTTTAGCGACACAAGCCCTTTCTTAAATAAAACTGGTTTATTCTTTCCGAATACAACTTTACGATACACTTAATTTCAACAGTCGCTCTATAACAACACTATAACTCACGTCTCACGTGGCCTACAATATTTTGTCCGCATACATTCAATTACTCATTACCTCTGTTGTCCCGTCACGTTGTGAACGTCTTATATATACAAAACTAACACATATCTAGTAAATGCTAGGGCATTCTTGAAGGAACAGGATATTTCTAGAAAACGTGGCGTGATAATCGTCATGTGACCTCGCTGACGCAACAATATATTCAGAACAAGTTAAACGTATGTCCAGCAAATTCTTCATACTAAGAAGATTGTAGGCATATCCTAAACACAATATCATATGTATAGTTCTCTTCTTGTCAAAAGTCCACTTAGGCCTATTCAATTACTTTAGAATTTGAGTTGAATCCGAACTATCTTTTCTATTACTATCACACTAATATTCTGTGTGTGATTCACTTACAATTGTGGTGCGAATTACCGTAATAGTTTGACATTCTTTCTTCAAAATATACTCTGGTTCTTTTGTCAAAGTGCACTCAGGCTGATTCAATTACTTTAGAACTACGCTTTGACGGAATAATTTCTTCTTCTTATCTCCTTTTCTACTGTTAGTCTTACTCTAACATATTAAACGTTAGGCCTATGTCAATCGTTAGGCCTATCACTTCTACAGTAGTTAACTTCGTGCCAAATTTTTCCTTGCCCGTAACTTTACTTTCTTCTGCTATTGTCTGTGTGCTGTTTTCGCTCGTCTCACACTATGTATAGGTTTATCACTTAATTTTATGTCCGCATTCTAGAAATTTTTATATTCTTGACGTCAGTGCATTGCACGCGACGTTCGATAGTCTGAACATAAATGAATTATAAACACAACTTCTAACAATCGTCTGCTCTTAACTCTTATTATAACAAAAACTAAACAATAATATAATACTCACTCACAAAAATGAATTAATCAATAATATCTAAACTATCATGACATTAATCCATAAACCTATCGTTCATCCATCGGGGGACAAAGTCATGAATCCACAAGCAATTTGGTGCATAAATGGTTTAGAAAAATGTGTTTATAAAGCCGATGGGGTCTTTATGATCCCCACTACTAATTCTAGCATTAAAATATGGAATTAATTTTATTGTAAAAATAAAACAAAAACAAAAATATATTATCTAAGGGGTAGATAGACAGCCAAATTGAGGGAGAGATAACACTCATTAAATGAAGATAATAAACAGTAAGTCAGTTAAATACAGACAAATAAGAAACTGATACATGGTGAAATGTTTAGAAAATATTAGTGTTTGTTATGAAACAACAGAGAGTAAAAGTTATGAAACTCTTAGTAAATTTTCAGACGGCTGTCCTTAGTATATAACATATAAACAGATAATAATGCGCGGTTTGTAGTGTTTCTGACTCACTATAGTGTGTGTATATATATATATATACACTTTATCCATGTATTTCAACATCATCTAATATAATGATCTGTCTACTTTTAAAAAGACAGATGAATTAACAAAATACTAGGGTTAGAATACTGGTTTTGTTTGTTCGATACATAATTCATAAACTTCAGAATGATATACTCTTTTATCATGACGTAAGTCAGACAAACGTTAACACTTGACTCTGAAAACAACCATCACACATATAGAAACATGATAAATTTGCCTGAGAACACGACTTCTTGACCAACCGTGGACGAAAACACTATTATAAGAATGAATGACTCAGTCACGTTCCGAAAACAGCAACACCACATCCGACATCAGAGAAAAAGTATAATACGAAGAACAAACAGAAAGTTTTTCTCATAATTTTGTCATTTTATCCAACCTGCTAATTAAAGGGGAACAATATCCTATATCTTGAAGCCTTCTTCAAGCAAGTATATAAAACAGGGAAAGCCTTAATTAAATCTCTTGATGGATTATCATACAAAATAATCAGGCATTATTCAATGTCACAGGTTTCTGTCCAACAAACTGGAGAATAATAATTACTATACACTATCGAACCCACAACCTGATTTTGATTATGTTTGTTACTCAAGAAGTTCTAACAGTTGTCTGTGTTCTGAAGTAGCTTGTTACCATGGCACCAGAACTGCTTGAGTTACATCCAAACCAACCAAAGATGACAAGCCAATCAGATGGAATAACTTCTAGTAAAAGAAGTGCTTGGTTTTACATACGATTATTATATTCTTCTCTCCGTGAAAACATTAATGTCATCACGTTTCTTTGCTTGATAACTTCATCTCTTTTTAGCTTTTGAACTTAGTATTTTCAAATAAAAATGTTTCGGAAAAAATATATAGATTTCAATCCAAATATATATGTGTGGTTAATCTTAGTTTTGTAAAGTTAGAAAAAATGAATGAAGATGCAAATAATTGAGTGAATTGATATCTTTGTTTTTATAACAGTAAAAAATAGTTTAATTTCCTACAAAATATGTGTATAATTCCCTTGTAGGAATTATCTCATATTTTGCCTTACATCAGAATGTTTAAAACATGTAGCACTGGTTGATCTATTACAAAATTATTAGGCAGCATCGTTTCATGGAAAAGGTAATTTCTACTATATATATATATTAGGTTTAAACGTCAGTCAATATTTCAGCAGTTACTTATATATACATATATAAGGTTTAAACGTCAGTAAATATTTCAGCAGTTACTTTTTTACACATATATATATAAGTTTTAAACGTCAGTCAATATTTCAGCAGTTACTTTATATATATGTATATACATATATAAGTTTTAAGCGTCAGTCAATATTTCAGCAGTTATTTTATATATATATAAGTTTTAAGCGTCAGTCAATATTTCAGCAGTTACTTTATATATATGTATATAAGTTTAACCGTCAGTCAATATTTCA